ATTTATAATATGTATATACGCAAAAACGCAATTTCGCAGTTAAGATGACCGCAGTTAAGATGACATATTTATTAACGTTAAAAAAAAATTCATATATTTACGCACGGGGTTAAAAAGAATTCAAATAAATAAACCTTATACCAATATGCAGATATATAAAGTGAAATGCGCAATCTTATCATTATGTTCGTTTCAAGAATTTTTATAAACGATCTTTAAACATATAATTATAGTGAGGTAAATAAGGTGTACAAGTAGCAAGTGACTCATGCGTTTACCAGTCCATTTACTTGCAGTACAGCTTCTATAAAGGTATACCGAAGGTCAACATAAATCTGCCTTTCGACGTTCATTCCCCAGAACGCGTTAATTTCTACGGGTTATCGATAGTCTCTTCTGACAGATCCTTAAAAGGCAAGCATTTACCTGCGATGCTCGTGAATACACACTGTTGAGTAACACTAATGCATTTCAATTATAGCGTTTGCACAATACCAAATAATTTCGGGTATTACGAATTTATTTGGAATTCATGAAAATTTCCGAGAATAATTTACGCGCGGTTAATTTCTCGGTGAGTTTGTAGATTTTGCAAAATAATTATTTTTTCCTCGATGAGTTAAAGAAAAGAAAGTGCGCTACTTGTGATCTATTGCATATCTTTATAAGCCTCCTCGAGTAGTTTCGACGTTTTCAATGCCGATCCTTTTTCTTACGGCAATTCTTGGAACGCTCTTAACGCCACCGCGACAAAACGCGACGTAGGCACTTGTATATAAAAGGTGAAATTGCTATAATCTTCGCGGCAAAATTGTAGCCGAGAGGCTCAACAATGCGCCCAGATGATCGCTTTATAATGCTTCTGCGAACTGACGAGTTCCACCTCTGGTGGACTGGAAAAAGCATGACTCCCGCAGATAATAAAAGATCGATAGGAGATTGCTACGCGGCACAGAATTCGAATTACCCGCATATAGGTGACCCGTCGACTCGACCAGTGAAAATGTTAAAAGCGCGAGGAACTTGTAAAGTGCAAGAAAGTAGTGTTTCGCGACACGCGATCGAAGAAGAGAGATCGTGACGAGACAGAAGTGTTCGTGACGAGAAGTATAACGTTGGGAGAGCGCAAATCAACAGAGACGGCGAAAAATCGATGACAAGAAGTGACGTGTTTCGCCGTGATGGAAATTGCAAGTGGCGTATAAGTATTGAATAATTCTTACTCTCAATATCTTTTTGCTCGGTCCCTGACATTTTCATTAAGAAACGTCCTTTAAGAATCTTCACGATTAACAATTATTTATGGAATAATCAATGAGTCTTAAAACCAAGCCTTTTATACAAAAAAAAACAAAAAAGACAGACCTCGGTTATACCATATTTGATACATGCAAAAATATTAATGTTTTGCTATACGCGAATCATAATCATTAATAATTACCAAATTTCATTTATTGTTGTTAACTATAAAGTTTCAAGGCAAATTATATTTCCTGGAAAACATATTTAATTATCGTTGTTGTAGCTACACGAAGTCGATAAAAAGAATGATGTATAATATATTGCAAAACGCAAAATAATTCTATTGCAATTCAATATATGCTACCTACATACTTACAGAATTATCCAACAATCTTCTCCATCGCGCCATTAAGCGCGAACCGCATAACAATTACCAATATGGATTTCTCAATCCATATTTGTTAGCAATAAACGATAACAAGAGTTCCATTGCGCAATTTCTCTCGGACATAAGCGCGATCTATGTTTGTAGACGCGCGTAATAATCAGCTGGGAATAACAAATGACGATGTACACGTGAAGGCAATCTAGCGCAACGATTACCGCTACCTGACTTTAATTAGGCGGGACTGGCCGGAGAGATATCCTTCGGCAGTCATCTCGGAGGTGTCTCGAGATACGAGCATTTACGTTCCAATCACGAGATACCAGTTTATTTATGTTGGCGAAACAATAGATCGTCAATTCGCGGATTAATCCGCCTGTGCAAACAGTCGTAACGATGACCACTGGTCAGTCTCCAGACTCGAATTTCGCTCGACCGTTGATCAATCGCCTGAGACTCATTCCGCAAGACGACGATCAGAACGACGATCGGCATACTCCGATCGCGTAACGATGAGGCACGCACGCGGAAGAACGGCCAAAGTCATTTAATCGCTTTTCCATGTCATTACGCCGATTTGCCATTTTATATTTAGTCGGTGGGGATTCCAATTAGCCTTTCTTTCCGTCGTGCGCCCTGTGTGAGAAGGCAAAGGACGGGTATACGCCATATATGTATGTACACCATATATGTACGCCGGTATCCATCGACGGCGGGGAGCAAAGGCGCTGACCTTCGGAAGGTCATCCGTCTTGCAGCGATGTACGACATGCTTCCGTGTATCATCCGTGGTAGCGCGAGAGGCCCCGTGATGCTCGGTAAGGAATATTGACCCCGTGCGCGGCAAATTAAATCGTCATTACCTAACGAAGCGCGCCGATCGAATCGATATAGAAATAATTAGCCGGCCGTGCCAATTATTAAAAATTATTACTGCGCGACGACGGTTATGTTAATTCTCTCGTAAATCGATCTCTGCGTGATCTCTCGTCGCCAATACGCGAGGAATGCGACGGCGACACGCTATATATTTACATTCTAAAAATCGCGACCGCCAACCGGAAACTGAGATCATCCGTCTGATTATTTATTCGTGGCGTTCGCTCGTTTTTTTCACGCGCTTGCAAGCGCGTTCAGGAGAAAATGACAGTCACGCATTGGTCGTAAATGCTAGGCGCATCGAGCCGAGGAGTAAGACGCGATTGCCGAGATCGCTCGATGAAATTCAAAACGTCGATGACGATTCTATAGCGGCAGATACCCTCCTTCCGATCTTTGACCCGGTCCGGCGCACAACGAAAAGATATTAATGACGCTCCACGGAGAAAACAATGGGAGAAGTGCTCGGTACCACGTCGCTGTAATCCGCTGTTTCTCGAGTCAATAATCATTTCACGGCAGAACGACAATTACGGAGACAATGACACTCGTGCAGCGTTTCTCCCTTAAACACAGACATTAATATCCCGCGTTCCGGGCTAATTATTGGATAGCTTGGGCGGATAGCTTTGGGCGTGCGCAGCTAGGCATGTGAAAGTACTTGTTAACGAAGCGCAAAGAAGTTTGTCCAGGAGATCACATACATGAGCCACATCTTTGCTTTCAATTTTTTTAAACTTTCGAGATACCTTCAGCGACAACAAATTATAAGATTTCTGTAGAAATATACACAGTTGGAAAATTTGTTTTTTTTTTTTTTATGAAAAAATTTGTTGGTTAAAGTTAGGTAATCTGCATATTTGTATGTAAATTTAATTTATTTACATATTGCTATATTAATTGATCTTAAGAAATATAAGCTTATTTTTAGCTTAACTTTAAATGTAAAATTATTTAAAAAATATATTAAAGTAGCACAATTTATACGTATCTATCAAATATGTTCAAATTTACAAAAAGAAATGTTGATTGCATAATAGGAAGGGAATGACTGTGCGTTACTTATATGTCACTTTCATCATAAAAATTATATTAATTATACACATAGTAAACTTCTAATTAAGATTAAGATTACATTTCTTTTTGTTTAAATATTAACATAATATCAGTGTTACTATTTAACATATAATATTAGATTAACACAAAAATTTGAATAGACTATTTAGGACATGGTAATATATATTGAATTCAACATATATTCCCCAATGGTGTAGTAAGCACAAATTTTTAAGTTAAGTTTGGGAAAATAAAATCATTTCTCAAATTTTAAACTTAAATTCTCATTTCATCAATCTTTCTAATTTTATTCAGCAAATAACAATAAATGAGGATATCGCGAATTCTATCTTTCTACATGAAAATGATATAGTCACATTCAACATTGAGATTTATTGCTCATCAAAGACATATCTTCTATGGAGTTTCCTAACGATTTGAGCTCGGCCACGAATAAATCAATGAAATAATAGTTTGTCCGAAGGAGGACGACGTCCGCGAATCTCGGCAACGGCCAGAAGAAGAGGCCAATTTCAAACGAATAAAGGGGTTAAGCGTGACACACTTATTCGGATACAGTTACAAAAACCGCGGTGGCAAAAAAAAAAAGAAGTTGATATTTTTGATTTGTGACGGCGATCATTGTTACGCAATTCGCCGTGTAGCGGTCCACCTCGCGGATTCGCGAAAAGTGGCACGCCATCTGCCTCGGCGAACATATGGCGGACATAGCGTAAGTCATTTAAGTCGGCGAGTCTTACCTCGATACTTATAATAACTCGGTATTAACTGTTATGCGCGTCCTTGTAATTGCCGACCGTCTTGGATGTCTGGCAACGGGAGACGCTGGACGCGGCAATATTTGCGCCCTACGCGCGAGTAAGTCCGTCGTTCCGTGAGAAATTCAACACGGCGAAAATTCGCGCGACTCGCACGAACTTGGCATTCCAGTTTGCGGGTTCACGAAAGGTGTACGCAAAGGTTACCGATCACGGATATTTCGAATTCAACGTGAAATTTCAAATTACGGGGTACCAACGCACAGTAATTGGTTACACACGAGGCATAATACGCAACCGCTAATTACGCGAGCAAATATCGCATTCGTGATTTGATCGCCAATCAAAACTGGACGGCTTCACCATTGTTTTTCGAAAAGTTTAACAGGAAAATCGAATAATAAATCGAGAGCTAAAACAAGATCTAAATTATTCAGAATTCTTAGAATTTTACAAGCACAAGGGAATTCTATTATCACGGGTTATTTTGCGCAACTTTATTTATAATTATCGTTATACAGGTTCTTCGCGGGATTCGGTTCTCAACGCAATGAATTTGGCTACGCGCGAAATACGAAACGGGAAATCGGAAACGGAAGTTCCGGGCCGATCGAGGAAAGCGGGAGTCGCGGGATCGCGGTAGGAAAAGGAGGAAAAGAGTTGGCGACTCGGGGAAAGATTCTCGAGTACACGCGAGCCTGCGCGATACAGTTTATTTGAACTGGGGATCCACGAAGTGGGGAGACATAGCTCGGCGTTAGCGCACCGCCGCGTCTCTGCGGTTTGCGAGCTTTAGTCGCGCGATCTCGTCCGAAGTGTCGGGGCGCTTCTCGTCGAGCTCCTCTCGCAACCTGCGACCGGTCGATCGATGGGTCGATCGTGGCGTATACATCTCACCTTCCGAGAACAGCCGAGCGATCCACCGAAGATCTCCGTCGGTCCGCGTGTCGAAAATTTGCGCGCCGCTCGATCGCGCATTCGAATCGCGAGGGAATTTAAACTTAGCTGGGCCCGTATCTCTCTGAATATCTCGTTTCGAAATTGGCGATGTTATTTATTTGATCTCTAATAAGAATACGAGTTCTTTATATCGCGTGACCTCGACATGTGCGTCGGTCCTGTTTGCACGCGTGAGTGAAACAAATGAACGCTTTTGATGGATACGACGGAGCTTTGTAAGTTTTCGATGATCGACGAGGTGAGAAGGATAATTACAGTGGTCGAATTTGATTTGAGTAGCGCAAGCATATTCCCAAATTAGGAAAATAATGTATATGTAGAATTAGAATGGAAATGAATATATATATATATATATATTCTTCGTTTACTTTACGTTTAAGAATAGAAAGACTAATGATTAATGTTGATTCCATCTAGATTAGAATATATATATATA